CCAACGGGGTGTCAGAGAGAGTATCATTGTGATGAGAATAAAGAGAAATATTATCCATACTCAAGGCATCAGGAAGAGATGCCGAGGAAGTTCGAGCCCCCTCAGCATTAATAGGAGGATCCGGAACAGCAAGAGCATGCCCAGGAATTTCACCCGTTTCCATTACATTTGCAGAGATAAGATCCCGAGTAATATCAACATTCGAAGAATTAGATATGCTAGGAATCTCCAGAACATTTAAATCCTGCCTTGTAATCTCAATCGGGGCAATGCCAGTAGAGTAAGTAGTTTCCTGGTTTATATCAGCATGCGAAATAATAATCGGGGTAGAGACAGAAACCCCCTCAGTATTAGAAATAAGAGGAACGGAGTCAGGTAAAACCTGTTCGATCCTACCCTCGACCACGGTCGTAGGAAGAGAAGGAGGCTGTTTCCTCCCATCCCCTTTCCTTAGTTCAGGATTTAATTTGAAACAATGTTGCTGATCATGCCCAAACATTTGACAGTGTGTACAATAGGAAGAGTGTTGTTCTAGTAATACCTGTTGCCAGTAACCAATATGCTCCGAACTAATCCAAACCTCAGCAGGAGGAGGTAAAGTGACATCTCTTTCAATTAAAACTCTGGCCATAGAGGACCTTGTGAGATTATAAGTGGGAGCATCTAATTTCAAAGGTCTCCCAAACATAGCCACTAAAGAGAAAAGAACTTCATGATTGAAGAGATGGACTTTCAAATAAGGGAATCTAATCCAGACTAAAATAACAGGTGCCTCAGCTTTAGGATCGAAATTCGCTGACCATTTTAACACCTTCATCCCATAGTTCTCGAACCAGACCATACGCTTAGCAAAGGCGCGTATAGTCGTATAGTCCTCTTCGTTCGCCAGTTGAATCAAAATGTGCCTTCCATCCAGAGGGCCAATTTTCCATTCTCTCGTAAGCCTCATCAACTCAAAGTGCTTTGGAAGAAATTCTAACTTAGGGATCCCATAAATAAACTTTCCTGCCAGATGAAGACAACAAGAAGAAGCAAGTTCGACGTTCTCAGCATCAGAGAGGAAGAGAGCAAATTTTCCCCTTTTCCGGCCGGGACGTCGAACGAAAGAAGAAACGAAATCAAGCTCGAGATTATCGTAGAAAGCAGAAGGAAAGTTAGGAACACCATCAACGGTAACTCTAGCGTAAGAGCGAGGCCTCTTGCTTGTCTCACCACGGTCGCCGGCCGTCACGCCAGCGTACGAGCGTGCCATGACGAGAGATCACTCGAATCGCCATAGAATCGCAAACCCTAGTAGAAACGGAGACGGAAACATCGCGTATGTATGTATCGTATTATATATATATATATATATATATATATCTGTAAAGGAATGTGCAATATATATTTATTCATATTGTAAAAAAAGAGGTTCCTTTTTTTTTGAGCTTGAACTTTCATATGGATACATTTGAGAAATCTAACTGTCTTTTGTTGCTTGATATCGACTAGTGGGAGACATATATTACGTTTGATTGGTTTGGAGACCTATTTGACTATGAGCATTAGTGTTACATTTGTTGGGGTTTGTGTGTGTATTTATGCTGAACTTTTGTTGATTTGGAGGGGATATGTGTATGGTTTTGGGTTGATTTGAGTGCAGTTTTAGAAGCCTTTAAACACTAATCCTGCGCTGCGGTTTTCGAAACTTTTGTGAAAGTTGTGTTCCTTTTGGGTTGGGCTGCGGTTTTCGAAACTTTTGTGACAGTTTTGTGTTCCTTTTGGGTTGCGGTTTTGGGCAATTTTGAGACTACTTTGTGGCTTATATGGAGGCAGTTTTTTCAAGTCTCTTTCATACCCATTTGGGCCGCGGTCTTGGGTATTTTTGTGGCCCACCTAACTACGGTTTTGGAGTGTTGTGAGGGCTATTTTGAATGCAGTTTGGGAGCTTTAAAAATGAATCTTTTGGGCTGAATTTGCTTTAGTTTGAAGGCTTTTAAAATGCATCTTTTGGGATGAATTTGCTGCAGTTTGGGGGCTTTTAAACTGCATCTTTTGGGCTGAATTTGCTGCAGTTTGGGGGCTTTAAAAGTGAGTATTTTGGGCTGAAATGGCTGCGGTTTGGAGCCTTTTAAAATGTATCTTTTGGAGGGGTTTTGGGGCTTTCCTTGCTCAACTTCCTCACTGATTTGAGCACCATTTCGAGGGATTTCGGTGGGCTGATTTGAAGTAACCGATATATGGTTTCAAGGCTTTCTAGTGTGTTATTTTAGAGTCTTAAAATTATGTTTTGAGGGCTGATCCACCATTCACTTCTTTGATCTTTTAGGTGGATTGGTCCCTCCTCTCTCACCTCTTTTTTCTTCTTTTCTTTTCTTGTTTCTTGGGTTGATTTAGATGCTTGTGTATGAAACATAAGTGCACATAAATTGCTTAGACTATATATGAACCATCAAGCACGCTTATAAGTTGAATGATTCTTTTTTGGGTTTAAGGGTCATGATGACAAAGGCATTCGATGATAGAGCAAAATAATATTGCATCCTACGATATCGGGACCCGACCTAGGGACCTAGTAAAAATGTAGGATGACAATATTATTCACCGACACTAGACTAGCGATGACCCTTGCCTTCTTAGGCTGCTGACGATCCTAGTTCGATAGTGTAATCGACTCGTGGACAATTAAATTCATAAAATACAATAATAAGGACAGATACATTACTTACAAAATATTTTTGACTCCTAAAATAGATATCCATTTTGCTTATATACATCGGGCTTATATGCATGACAAAATATAAACTTTAAGTAATACAATTCGATTATCCACTTGTCAATTATTTATACTGTGCTAATAATTGACCTACTAAGATTATCTTGTTAGAAATTTCTAATTGAATGTCGGGCTTTATACACGTGGATGACCGATGGTTGCTTTCAGAGTCCCTTGAGAATGCTAAAATATGAACCCACCCCGAACTTGAATTCTTGTAGTCCACTTTGGCTTTTTATTGTTCACTTGTTATTTTATTATAGTTTTTTCTGCGTTTCTTATGGTTTTTATCGATTTTGTGGGTCACTTTCAGTTTTCTTTGAGTTTTGTTAATGAGATGCATTGTCACTTGCTCTTTTATACATAAATTCATGTTCGCCCTACTAGCTAAACTTGCTACGATACTATTTATTTTTACCTGCGACACTAATCCCATTTGCAGGAGCAACAAGCCCGTCAGGTACATTGGTTTATTTTATAATTACAACATTTTTTCGTCTCTGCTACACATTCTACTGTTCTTCTTTACTGTACATTTTACTGTCTTTTCTTTACTACACCTTTTACTGCTTTTTCTTACTGTACATTTTACTACTTTTCTTTACTGCTCTTTACATTGCTTTCATTTACTGTACTTCATCAAAACATATTTATACATGCTTTGATTTAATTACAAGACCTTCAGGATATAAAATAATACTCGGTTTATCTAGGGTGGATTACTATAAACATAAACACATATCCTTTAATTGATAGGATCAATAATGATTGAAATTAAAAAAAAAAGAAACATAAGAAATGAAATATTAAACTTGAAACTGTTACGACGTGGAGCTTGGAGTTAACACCGTGAGCAGCACGATGAGGATTTACAGAAAAACAACTTCGAGAGAAACAAACAAATCTACAATAACAAACCTTTAATTAGAATTAAATAACAAGCCATAAGACTTCAAGGTGGGCTGCCTAGCGCGACATAAATTCTCGTTTTATTTTTTAGGTTTTTGCATAGTTAAATTGTGCAATATAAGCCCTAACTCGCTTTAGGCTCCGAGGTCATCGTCCGATATGACGTAAATCCTACCATCTTCCAGGTCATTTGTATGACCGTATCACACAAAGATAACTCCTAAATAATAAAACATGCAGGATGAAACATCAAATAACATATTATCAAAATTAAAGTCAAACAATAGGATAATTTGGGAAGTCACCGATGTTCTCCTCAGTATCCGTGATATTCTCTACTTTTCTTTCCTTTGACTCCAGAATTAAATGTTCCCAGCTACCTTTTTTCCCACTTGACTTTTCTATGTCCAACTGTGGAAATCCTAAACTTTGAATTCATGAAGATATATACCTCTGATTATCATCGAGAGTTTTCTTAAGTCACTCCAGTTATTTGAGAAGTAATTAACTATAGGTGCTTGCCTCTATAGAGAGCTTCAAGAACCAAGTAATATAAATCCTATCTAATTTTTATATTGGGTAGGGGAACTTGTCCGTTAAAATAAAAAATTCACAGACCAAAACAAATTTCATGAGTTCATTAGCTTATTTAATCGAGTCTCACCACCAAGTAATGTGTCTATTTCTCGGAATAGGTGCTTTGCTTGCTGTGTTGTGCCCGTTTACTTGAACTATTAAATATATGAGATTAGTTTGGTTTTGTATTTCCAAAATTTAAAATGCTACTTTTCAAAATTATATATTCTACATTATGTATATATATTTTTTCAAAGGAGGAATCGACAATGCATCTACCTATTATTATTGACTGACAGAAACATCCTTCCCAACAATGTACCGACTTCTCCCACTGACGTGTCCGCTAAAATGCATGCAAAACTGATTAACTTTAAAAAACTAGAACTTGTAGGCCTTACCCAACATTGCAGTGGGACAGATGGATAATTTGCCATCTAACTCAGCCAGAGAACAGTATTAGCATCATTCTTACTTGTTGCTTATACTGATTTGAAGTATGTTTACCCTTGGATTTAATTTATAAACAGGCCGTGATTTACTAACAATGTACATTGTCTAGATCATTTTCACGTACTTTATCTTGTAAAGGCTCCACTATACATTGCCACTGAAGTTGAATGTACTTGTATTCAGCACCACTAATATGCTCTCCTGTATAAAAAGCTCCGAATGTAGACTAAAATTCAACAAAATAAATTTCTCTCCGAGTCTCATTGACTAGCTATTTAATTTTTATTATTGTTGTTTTTACAATTAGGTTGTGATAACCACAGTTCTTATGGTGGAAGAGTTATTCTAGTCAAGTGTGGGGTCTACACAAAAAAAATTGGTATAGACGGCTCTGCAGAGGCAATAAAGGAGGCCATTAAATCAGCTTTTGGATTGAGAACAAGACGTGCTTTTTGGCTTGAGGATGAAGATGAGGTAGTACGCAGTCTTGATAGGGACATGCCACTAGGGACGTACACTCTTCATCTTGATGAGGGTAATGATTAGACTTTCACTCATCTTTTTCTATCCCACTATCTTGTTTATCAAGTTCTGCTGGTTTTCTTATATTTGTCTTTTTATTCTGTGCAATCCTAGTGTTTGCTTATCCCAACGTTGAGAAAAAAATCTTTGTGCAATGCCTAATATAATATATAGGATGATATGCAAGGTTATTGTTTTATTATATATAGAGTTATCTTATTTGTAATGATTTTGACTCATATTTACATGTGCTCAAGTCATTTACTCGCTTATATTATATATTATTTTTATTGTAAGGATCTTTCTATTGAATTCTCCTATTGTTATACGCACACACACACACAACACATACACACACATATATGTGTGTACACGTGTGCGAGCCCTGACTCATTGATAGCGGTTTGCCGTAAGGCCCTCGGGTCTGGGGCTCGAATCCCAACCTTTTCGGGACGATTTGAATAGCACACAGGACTGGAAGGGGGGCCTCCCTCGGTCAGTCCAACCTAAAGGGTTTGATCGGCGGTCTCCGACCGTCGATCAATCTTTTAAGAAAAAAATGTGCACACACACACATATGTGCATATATATGTATGTATGTATGTATATACACATATACATAACTATATATGTGTGTGTGTGTAGATAGATACATACATACATGCATACATATATATATATATATGTATATACATATACATGTATATGTATACATATACGTATATATGTATACATATACATGTATATCTATACATATACGTATATATGTATACATATACATGTATATCTATACATATACATGTATATATATACATATCCTATATATAATGGCGTCGTCCTCGCTCGGCTCTGCTAGGGTTTCGCTCGATGGCGAACCCTAGCAACAGTCACGACTTCGATCTCTCTCGTTCACGTGTTCTTCTTCGCGCTCGAGTTCTTCTTTCTCGGTTCCTTCCTTCTTCGGCTCGCTCTGAGACGAGGCTCGCTCCTCTGCAGCCCGTCTCGCTGCTCGCTTCTGCGGCTCAACCTCACGGGAACTGCTTCCTGCATTCTTTGCGCTCGTCCCTCTGTGGCTCAACTTCGCGGGAACTTCTGTTTTTTGCGTTCTCTGCACTTTTGCGGCTCAACCTCGCGAAATTGCTCCGATTCCTGCGTTCTCTGTGCTCGTCTGCTTTCTTCTCTAAAGGTTTGTCCTGGAGGATGGCTTCAGACAAATCATATGCAGCTGCTCTTGCCGGTGTCCATGCCTTAGGCACACCAAAATCATCATCATTCCCTCCGTTTGAGTGGGTGGAGGACGTCAAGAAAACTGGTAGGAAGAATGGGAAGCCCGACATCTTTTTTACAGAAGCTGAAGGTTTTCAACTTGCTTACTCCTGTCGTCTGAATTTGGTTGAGAAATTTCTATATGGACATCCCTAGAGCTCATTCGCAAAGAATTTGAACTTATGCTTTTTGTTGGAGAATGAAAAATTGGATTATTAGATGAGAGACACGTTCTTATTCAAATTAGCAATGAAGAAGATTACATGCGTTTATTTGCTAGAAGGATAATATGGATTGATAACAGAGCAATGAAGATTCTGAAATGGTCTGCGGATTTTGACTCACAGACGGAACCGCCAATCATTCCGGTTTGGATTTGTCTCCCTGGTTTGAAATTTCATTATTTTTCTCAAAAAGTATTGTACTCTATTGCCTCAGCTTATAGGAAGCTACTCAAGACGGACATTCATACTTTTAATTTGTCTCGTCCTTCTGAAGTCAGAATACTTGTTGAAAGAGACATCACTTCACCTGCATCTGAGGAAATCTAGTTGGACACACAACACACACAATGGACACACAACACCAGGGATATTGGAAGAAGGTAGAGATTGAACCTTTTCCGTCGTATTGTTCGAACTGTCTTATGTTCGGACACTCTAGTTCTCAATGTCACCATATACACTCCCAACTCAGACCAAAAAAACAAACTGCTCTGCTAGAGGTTGTGATTCCATCTCCTCTTGATCAGACAGACAATTTGACAACTATTCAATCCCCAGTTGTAGATCCCTCGTTTTTGGAAACTCTTATCGTGGGGGAGAGGGAGTTTCTTCGGACCTCGCCTGCCCTAGAACTTATCACTAATAAGATAGGTGAAAATATTTCTACTGCTTCACAACCGCATCATCAGGTCCAGAAAGATGTTAATATTATAATATTACTGTTAATATTACTCAGGCTCATGGGGATCAAGACGTGCAATGACCTACACCTATCCGACCACTTTTGGAAACTACTGATCAGATGAGTCAATCATCGGATAAGGAATGACAAGTCTACAAATCTAGGAGGAAGAAGAAGAATGAAAATTTACTTGAGCTAAGTAATCTAATGGATGATACTTTGGTTACTACGGGCAATGGTACACACCTTACTAATTTGTTAGCCGACTCACTTCCGAGAACTAAAGTGGGACGTCCCTAGCACTTTTGTGCCCTTTTGTGCTTTTTGGTTTTTTACCTTTTTGTATCTTTGCTTTATCTAGATTTGGTGTGTGTTGTATTGTATGAGTTGAGCTTTCTTTTAGGTCCTCTCATATAACTTTTTTGTATCTTTTTTGTATTAATATATTTGCCCTCGGGTTTTTTTTTTCTTCTATATAAATACATACATACATACATACATGCATATGTGGATGCATGTATGATATATGTATGTTTGTATGTATTGATATATAAACGTATATGATATGTATGTATGTATGCATGCATGCATGCATACATATATCATGAAAATGTATTCGCTTAAAATTTTAGTAAATGTTAGTATTCTTGGTATTTTTGATCTAATGTTCAAAAGTTGAGTGCTATATGAGTAAATATTAAATTTAGGTATTATATATGTAAATATATAAGAATTATGTTGTATGTGTAAAGTGTGAGAGGGAGGAGGGAGCTAGAGTAGTGATAAAATAATTACAAAATGATTAAATTAGAACGCCGAGTTTATAGGCTTATTCATCAACATCAATAATCCTGATTTTTATTATAAACTTTCTAATATTAAAAATTAATACCGTGGGGATCAAGTTTTATCAATCTAAAAGGAATGGGGAAATTAATGAAATAAATGAATGAAAGTTTTAAAACATTTCTTTCTTCGGAACATAAGAAATAAAAATAATAAGATGTATCATACATTGGTTAAAATGGTATAATAGAGTTGGGTTTGAAGAAGCATAAATATAAAGTTGTAAGCCTATGGTGCTATAGTTTTTGGGATTTGAAAAAGTGTGGAATACTACAATGCTTTGGCTTATAAATCTTATTATTGAATTTCTAAGATTCTGAAGCTGCACAATGATTGGAGAGAAATCATACCAGTGTAAGTTCTTAGGACTTCTTGCTTTGGGGCTTAAGCCAAACAAACAACTATTTAGTGCGCCTTCAAGTGCCCTTTTCTTAAGCCATATGTTTCAACACTTCGGGGCTAAGTACATCCTTTAGAAAGCCACTCCAATCATCGCCTATGTTATTTTTTTGTGGTTCAACTTCAGATTTTCTCCTACATTGTTTTTGTATTTTATTTTAACTCCTTTTGTTAGTTTGTTCTTTCTCGTTATCTCCCTCGGTGATGATGACCATCATCTTCATACTTGTGACTTTTTAAGCTTCTACCGTTTGTCTTTGACCTCCTTGTGCTCATTTTGAGTAGATTCTTCCGTCTAGCCCTGCCTAGATTTTTGGTGTTGACATGTCTGTCCGTCTTTGTTCCTATAATCCCTTTTACTCTTATTAACCTTCTTGACATTGTATGGTGCTGGTTGGTTCCTAATTTTCACAATGACCTCTAGGTTGTGGAACATGTCTGCTTTACCCCATTTAATATTTTGATCTACTTCCAATCCTCAAGGGGGCCTCCACTTTATTAAAAAAGTGGCTAAACTATTGTTATGTATAGTCTTGCTTGTCGTTTTCAATTCTATTTATGATATAGATAGGAAGATTACAAGAAATTAGTTATAGAAAATCTTATCTTATCCTCATTAAGTTCATAACTTTAATTATTTTCTTATGACAATATTTAACTTATTAATGCAATATTAAAATGTCGTGAACATTCAAGAAAAAAGTTTTTATCAGCTTAGGGCAGTTTATTTTTTTCACGAACTGAATGACTTAATTTTCATAAGGATTAAGTTTTCTATTAATTGGCTTAATTTAACTTGGCTTAATGTTAATTTAAGCTTCAAGCATTTAAGGCGGCTAAGAATAAAGTATGTCTAATATTATTGTAAATATGAAGGAGTTATATTTATTAGCATACAATAAAATTATGGAAGACTGATGAAATATAGATTTTAAATATTTGTTAGTTACAGATAAATATTCTTATACTAACAAGATCTGCTATAAAATAATTTTTGTGTAAAGACACTAATATAGAAAAAGCAAAGAAATATATGATGACTTGCATGAAATGTGGTTTGGGTTTATATCAAGCTTTTCATTTAATCATGTTTTTCTAGTTTTTTTAATAGAATTTAGGTTTAATTATCTTTTTGAGTAATATTGGAACTATGTTAAGAATAAAATAAAAAAAGAAAAAAAAAATCCTTTTGAGTAATATTTGATTTGAAATTTGAAGTACTTATGATTTCAATAAGATTTTATTTGAATTCAAGTTGATTGGAGCTCATCTTTAAAATTTTATTTTTATAAATATGATTTTTGCGGTTTTTATTTGGCCAATCGAACAAGTGTTAATCACTAAATCTCTCTTATCTTATTTTCTCTCTTCCGTCCGATACTAATCTCGATGAGCTGCCCTAATTTGCATCAATTGGTATCAAAGCCTTTTTTGCACTCAACTTTTATTGGGATTCCTTCATGTTTCTCCAGATCTCAATGCTCTTTTAATTGCATTTAACACTTTCCATATCAACATCAATGTTACAATGTGCTCTGTCAGGATCTTATGTAATATTCTATATAGAACCTTTTCTCATGCGCTCGCCAGACTGCC